TAGCAAGTGTCTGTCTTACTAAGTGTTCAAGTATTGTTGAATGAATGAATAGAAATTCAGAAATTCTTGATAATCATATCATTTCTTACATGTTTAAAATTCAAAATTCAAATGGGCATGCCTGTAAACACCAGTATTCAGAAACTCAGGCATGAAGATGGAGAGTTCAAATCCTTCCTGGAATATATAAAGTCCTAGAAAATCAAAATTTGAGTAGGAAACTTTGTGGAAAGCTAAATAGGTTATAATCTTGATGATCTCAATTACTTACTTAATTCTTGGCCTTAATCATAAATTTATCATTCTCCCTAGTTATTTATTCTGTTATTTATCTTGAAAGAGGTTTCCTACAATGTAATTTTTAACCTGACTGTTGTTTCAAGACTTCAGCCAACAAAATTTGAGATATCAGAAAAAACATAAGTTACTCAAAGATTCAATTGAGGTTAACATTACTTAAATTCATTTACATTGCCATTCTTAACTAAAATAGAGCTGTGAATTGGGCCTAGTGGCTCATGCCTATAATCCCAGCTACTTGAGAGGAGGGAGTAGGATTGTGATTTGAGACCAGCCTACATGTAAATATCATGAGACCCTAGTGAAACAATGCAATTGTGATGATTCACAGCTATAAACCCAGCAACAATGAAGGTAGGATTGAAGTTTGATGTAAACCCCAGTTAAAAACCTATGAGACTTTATGAAAAGTAACTGAAGTATTAAGGGCTAGTAGTATGGCTGAAGTGTTATAATGGTTCTAATGTTGAGGTTCAAATCCAAGTTTTTCAAATAAAATAAAGAGAAAAAGGGAAAGATAATGTATTTAATTTTATTACTTGAACCAGCTTATTACTTGAGAAAAGTTTTACTATATATTAGCATAAATTTTGAATTTGAAAAAACTTAGTTTTTCTGACAATTTAGACAGTGAACAGCATAAGAAAATAGAAGTGCTTATGTTATAAGAAGAATATATCAATTTTTATAAGTGACACAAAATCTCTTCATAGTAGCTAATGAATGCTGCAATAAAGGACAGACAGTCGACAGTCTTATCCTAGGCTTCTCTTAGTGCTGTTGACAATTTTCATGTTTAAGAAATTAGAGCAGCAAAAGCAAAATGAGAGCAACCTTGAAAAAGATGTTTTTTGATTCTTTATGACTTGTACAGGCATGTCTACCTCAAGAGTGTGTGAATACCATAGATTTCCTTGTTTATGCTTTTCTATACTGGAATGTAGCCTTGCATCAATTTTCCTAAAAAGGTTCAGACCTAAGTTAAGGTCTTGGGGAAAACATGCAGATTATCTTCCTTTAATGTTACATCTTATCCCTTCTAAGCACTCTGAGTGGCCATTGTGTGTCTTGTCTCTGTGCTGGGGACTAGGAAGATGAGCATGGCTCAGTTTACACCCAGAGCTTACCAGCTGCAGTAGTATTTTTGCATCATGCTCCTTACCTGTGTTCTTTCTCCACAAATGTTTAATGAACATTTCCTGAAAAGATGAGTGACATAATTCCCTATGTTTTCTGGAATGTATTTTCATCTATGGATGTTTTTTTTTGGTCATAGGGCTTCAACTCTGGGCCTGGGCACTGTCCCTGAGCATTTCAGCTCTAGGCGAATGCTCTACCACTTGAGCCACAGCACCATTTCTGGTTTTCTGGTAGTTTATTGGAGATAAGCATCTCAGGAACTTTCCTGCCCAGCCTGGTTTTGAACCACAATCCTCTGATCTCAGCCTCCTGAGTAGCTAGGATTACAGGCATGAGCCACTGGCACCTGGATAACAGTTTAATTTTCTTAAATTCAGTGTTTTCCTAGCATATTTGATCCTGTTACCTTTTTTTTTCTTGTGTTACATGTTGCAATGTCTCCATCTCCAAGAATAAAAACTGTCCACAGTAGTCAGTTTTGGTACCTGTTGTAAGAATGGAAGGGAATTTAAGGATGTTTCCATACAAGTGGCTACATGTTAAGTCCTGAACCATGAGTAGATGAAGGGAAGGGCAGTCTAGAGCTGAGAATAAACAATATAATGTAGAAAAGCACACATGGCTTGACCAAGCATGGTATGTTCAGTATCATGAGATAAAAATAAGATGAAATGTCAAGAGAGCTAAAAAGTTATATTAGAGACAAATTCAGGTTATTGAGATGAATAAAAGACCTTTTATGACACAGTTGTTCCATAAAACAAAAATTTCAATGTTTTATGTATTTAAAGCTGAGATTCCATAGGGAAAGCAAAAATTGCAAATTTATCCAAATATAGAAAAGTTTTGCTATTGGGTTCTTGGTGTTATTTATTTAATCAAATTTGTTTTAAAACTTGTCACCTAAATGGCAATACTGCCCAAAGCTATATTCAATGCAAAACTCATCAATATCCCAACAACATTCTTTAATGAAATAGAAGAAGCAATCCAAAAATTCATAATGAATACTAAAAGACCCTGAATAGCAAAAACAGTCCTTAGTGGGAAAAACAGTTCTGGAGGAATATCAATGCCAAATACCAAACTCTATTATAAAGCTGTAGTTATTAAAACAGCTTGGTACTAGTACATGAACAGGCCTGAGGAGCAATGGAAAAGGATTGAAGACCCAGAAGTGATTTCACAGACCTATGACCACCTAATCTTTGATAAGGGAACCAAGATTATCAGATGGAAGAAAGTCTCTTCAACAAATGGTGCTGTCAGAATTGGCTATACATGTGTAGAAAATTGAAGTTAGATCCTTATATATCACCCTGCACTAGAATCAAAGACTTTGAGGTAAGAGCAGATACCCTGAAAATATTGTAGGAAAGGATAGGGAATACACTAGGGCTCCTTGGCACAGGTCAAACCTTCCTAAATAAAGATTCAGAAACACAACAAATCAAAGAAAGGCTGGATAAATGGCACTGCACTAAACTGCAGAGCTTCTTCATGGCAAAGGACATACTAGCAAGAGAAGTAGAAAGTCCACAGATTGGGAGAAGATGTTCACTAGCCATATAACAGACAAGGCAAGAGCTCAAAAAATAAAACCCCCCAAAACAAATCCTCAAACAACCACTCCATTAATAAGTGGACTAAAAAATTAAAAAGAGACTTCTCTGGAAAGAAAATAAGAATAGCTGATAGGCACATGAAGAAATGTTCAACAACTCTGGCCATAAAAGAAATGCAAATCAAAACTACATTGAGATTGTACCTCACCCCAGTTAGAATGGCCATTATCTAGAAAACAAATAGTAACACATGCTGGTGGAGATGTGGCGGAAAGGGAACACTACTACACTATTGGTAGGAATGTCAACTAGTTCAACTACTCTGGAAAGCAGAGCTTTCCACATAGAGCTCCTCTATGATTCGGCAATTCCATGTCTGGGTCTTTTCCCAAATGACCACAAACAAGGCCACACTAAAGCTACAAGCACAACTATGTTCATTGCAGCATTTACCATAGCTAAGATATGGAACCAACCCAGATGCCCCTCAGTAGGTGAACAGATCAAGAAAATGTGGTATATATACACAATGGAAGTCAATGCCTCCATCAGAAAGAATGACATTGCCCCATAAGGAAATGAAAGGACTTTGAAAAAAGTCATATTAAGTGAAGTAGCCAGCGACAAAAAGACAGTCTCCATGGTTTCCCTCATTTGTAATAATTAGTATATGTCTAGTATAGCCCTATCAGAGGATCACAATAGCTCAATAGTTATGTACATAGGATCATATAAATTGATGCTAATCAAAATGAACTCCAAGATATGGAAACAAGGTTTTTTTTTTGTTTGTTTTTTTTCTGTGTTTTTGTTTTTTTTTAATGTACAGTGTGACATTATTTCTTTTTTTCCTTTGGTTTATTCCATGTTGTCACTGTTTTGTATTTTGGTACCTTGTGTCTTGTATATATGTTTATACAAGGGAAGGGGAATAATAAAATGGTGAGACAAAGGACAAAGGGTGAATTACAACAGTGATATTCACAGTACAGTATGTTGGCAATGAACTTTACAACTTAGTAGGGGAGGGGACCCGCAGAGGGGAAGGAAGGTAGGAGAGAACAAGGGAGGGGGGTAACAATGTTCAACAAGAAATGCACTCATTGCCCTACTTATATAACTAACCCCTCTGATGTCATTCTTATAATAAAATTTAAAAAACATGTTGCCTATAGTATTATTTGTATACTAAAATTAGATTTTAGTATATTATAGTATATTAGGATATAGATGATGAGGCGATTTTCTTTCTAAAAACTCTCGTGAACTAATTTTCTAGTTTGGAAGTAATCATAGAAGAATCATCACACATGAAGGCAAAGCAGTGACCTGTTTTATACTTTAAGATTGAAGGCTTTACTGAGCTTTTTCTTAGTATCATTTATGTTCATTATAAAACATTAGAACAGAGAAAAAGGTATACTTAGGCCACATAGAGATAGATGTACATGTTGGCATATTCTTGTGTTTTATTTTAAACATAATTTATATATTATTCTATGTAATCTATATATTGTGCTGCTTGCATATTTTCACATCATAAATTCCTTGTAAACATCACATTTGAAGACTAATAATCTACTCAGTATACATTTTATTGTTTGTGCACTCTTCAGTTTTTTCAGACATATTTCAGGTGGTTTCTGTTTTCTCTGCCATACAAATCATACTTTGCTTATCAATTTCCAGAATTGAAAATCTTGGGACATTAAAATAGAAATATGTTTAAAGCCCTTGATTCACGTCAGGAGTACTTCAAACAGTAATTTTTGCCCCCACTTGAAGTATATCAAATAGGTTTTTTCCTCAGATCTTGATACAATTCATTAACAAAAGACAATAATAAGGCAAACTTTATGGGTTTAATAGTTCAAAAATATGGACATAGTATTTTTGTTGATAGTTTTAATGATAAGCAATAGTTAAATCTATTTCATACTTTAGATAAACAAATACAAGTATTTCCTCTTGATATGAGGCTTTTTTATTTTTGAGGTATCCATCACGAATTGAAAAAATTGACTATGAGGAGGGCAAGATGTTAGTCCATTTTGAGCGTTGGAGTCATCGCTATGATGAATGGATTTACTGGGATAGCAATAGGTTGCGACCCCTTGAGAGACCTGCACTAAGAAAAGAAGGACTAAAAGATGAGGAAGATTTCTTTGTAAGTAGCAAGATTTTTTTCATTTGCAACTTTTGTTAAATTGTAATGATACGTTTTAAAAGGATTGTGTTAAATTTTACAAAGCTTGTTTATGTTAAGGAAATGCATATGTATTATACATGGAATTGATCTTAAAAGTTGTTTAAAATAGGATTTTAAAGCTGGAGAAGAAGTCCTGGCTCGTTGGACAGACTGTCGCTATTATCCTGCCAAGATTGAAGCAATTAACAAAAAAGGTATGTATTTGAAATGATCTGAAATGTAAAATGGGATCAAGAGAAAAATTTCATTATATTTTAAATTATAATTAGTTATGGGATCATTGCATACAGCTTTTTTACTGAATAAACTTTCTGTTAATAATAGATGTTGGAAACATTCTTATATTTCATAGAATAAGATGGCATGTGAATTGCTGCTTGAATAAACTAGTTAAGTTAGTAGAGGTAATTGGTTAAGTTTTTATCTTAAAATTTCCGGGCTTATATGAATTTTATATCTACTTTGGTATTTCCAGTTCATGACTAAGTTATATTGAGATGCTCATCTCAATGAAGTATGAGGAAAGGTTAAAAATTAAAGATAAGGGGGAAATTCTATTCAGTTTTACTTGTGAGTTAAATATATACAGTATTTTTTTAAGAAAAGAACATGAAACTTAACCAGTTGACTGATTGTCTTTATTGTACTTCTTTTCTCTTCCCTTAAGTACTATCTACAAATAATTGAATTATTTAAGTGTTCAGAAATGTTGAAAATAATGCAAAAGTCAAATGTGTTAGGATGGTATAAGGCTAGGAAACCTTGTGAACAGATAAATGAGCTTATGAAGTAGAATTTAGTCAGGTGCTGGTGGCTTATGTCTGTAGTCCTAGGTACTGGGGAAGCTGAGATCTGAGGATCATGGTTTGAAGGTAGCTCAGGTAGGAAAGTCTATAAGACTTTTTATCTACAGTTAGCCAGCAAAAAGCCAGAATTTGAGCTGTGGCTCAAATGATGAGTGCTAACTTTTAGCACAAAATTTCAGGGGCAATACCCTGAGTTCAAGCTCTAGGACCAGCACACACACACAAAAAAAAAAAAATAAAGAAAGAAAGAATTTATCAAGTAAATAATTTGGAATGTCACGAAGAAGTAAAACTATTCCTGTTTTTTAAAGAAGATCTTGTACCTAACTGACTCTATAGCCTCCTCCAAGCTACTAGAGGTGATTCAAAACGCTGGTAAAATAACAGGGTATAAAATCAATCCACAAAAGAGTCAGAAGCTTTTCTGTATGCCAACAATGAGGAGATTGAGACTGACATTGGAAAACAACTCCATTTTCAATAATCTCAAAAATACAAGACACAAAAAAGAAAAAAATATACAAAAGACAAACAACAAAACACAAAATGACTTAGGAATTAACCAAAGATATGTAGCATGTCTATAATGAAAACTTTAAAAATTTAAAGAAGGAAATTGAAGAAGACTTAAGGAAATTCCAAGACCCCAAAGCAATCTACAAATTCAATGCAATAAACCTCAAAATCCCAACATTATTCTCCAATGAGATAGAGAAAGGAGTCCAAAAATTCATATGGAATAACAAAAGACCCCAAATAACAAAAGCAATTCTTAGTAGGCAGAATAGTGCTGGAAGAATAACAATAGCAAACTTCAAACTGTATGACAGACATAATAAAAACAGCTTGGTACTAGCACAAAAATAGGCCTGAAGATCAAGGGAAGAGAAGAGAAGACTCAGAAATAAATCCACTGACCTACAGCCATTTAATATTCAATAAGGAACCCAAAACATAGGCTGGAAGAAAGACAGCCACTTCAAAAAATGGTGCTGGCAAAACTGGATTTCCACAGGCAGAAAACTGAAACAATATCATTATATATGTCCTTGCACCAGTATCAATACCAAATAGATTAAAAACATCAATGTAAGACCTAAAAGCACAAAACTATTACAGGAAAGAGTAGGGGAAACACAAGGGCTCCTGGGCCCAGGTAGAAACTTTCTGAGTAAAGATCCACAAGGACAGCAAATCAAAGAAAGACTTTATAAATGGGACTGCATCAAACTAAAAAGTTTCAGTGTGGCAAAAGATATACATACCATCAAGTTAAAAAGACCACCTACAGAATGGGAGACTTTTGCCAACTACATATCGGAAATGGCCTAATATCCAGAATATACAGAGGACTTAATAAATTAAACCCTCAGAAACCAACAACCCAATTAATAAATGGGCTAATGAGCTAAAGAGAGTTCTCACAAGAAGTAAAAATGGCCAATAAACACATGAAGAAACACTCAATATCTTTGGCCATAAAGGAAATGCAAATCAAAACAAGATTGAGATTCCACTTCACCCCAGTTAGAATGGCTGTTGCATGGAAACTAACAGTATAATGCTGGCAAGGATGTGGCCCTCTAGTACTCTGTTGTGGAAGTTCCTCAAAAATTAAACATAAAACTATCCTTTGATCCAGCAATTCCACTTCTGAGGCCACCAGCACAATCATGTTAATTGCAGCACTATTCACCATAGCTGAGATGTGGATTGAGCCTAGATGTCCCTCAGTGGACGAGTAGATCAAGAAAATGTAGTGTATATACAGAGTAGAATTTTACTCTTCCATTAGAAAGCACAATATTGTACCATTTGTAAAGAAATAGAAAGACTTGGGAAAATGTTAAGTGAACTAGGTCAGGCCAGGGGAGAAAAGGATCCATTTTTTCCTTGATGTAGAAGGTAGATTAGCTTACAAACTCAGCAAGTAAATACATTAGGTGGTATGCAAGTGAATACAAATGTATTGACTGAAATACAGTAGGTTCAAGGGAGAACTCAAATAGTGTAAGTTTTTGGAAATCAAAATTCAACAAAATAAAACACCAGGAAGCAAGTTCTCATAAGGGATGGAGTAGGGTCAAAGGAAAACAGATAAATGATGAGGACAAGAGGGAACATACAGAGAAGAATCCAGTGTATACCCTACAAAATTAAGAAGAATGAGGAGAGGAATGGATAGGGGGAGGGATGAGTGAGAGTGTTAAATGGATGAATTAATCAAGCTACATTGCACTCATAAACAGCTTGATTAAAAAAAAAAATAAAATCTATAACTATGTAGAAAAAGGAATTTGGAAAGGAATAAAAATTTGCTTATTTTTTGAAAATATACTTAAATATTTTATGTTTAAAACTTCTCATTTTGAAATATTTAAATGTCTATTTCAAGTTAGTTATATGTTTTCTATTATAATTTCTTAATCTTGACTACTTACTATTTTTCTAAAGAAGCAAATTGAGTGACAGCTTCCTGACAAGAATGGCACTTGGGAGTGCAAGGGAACGGATGACATTGTCTAAAAATAAATGCATTTTATAAAAATACATTTTTAAAAAATGCACTTGACTTATCTGTAACTCCTGTAATAACAAGAAAAAACTTTTTAAAAAAAGAGTGACACTTGGTCTAACAAGATATACTTTCTTTAAACCTAGCCTAAAAGAGATATAACTTAACAAAAGAAGAGAAAATTTCTGCAGAAGAAAGCTGCCTAGAAAAGAAATGAGAGAGCCTTGCTATTTCAAGGAACTATGAATTGTTAGGAATGAAGATTTGCTTTATAGGGGATAGGCTATAGACAAAGAGGTCAGTGGGAAGCAAGGGTTTTAAGGCAAACATTAAGTGGGCCGTCAGTGAGCTACTGATGCTGACATCCAAGGATCACAGTTGGAATTCAGCCAAGGCAGAGAAGGGTATTAGAATCTTATCTCTTTGGTTAACCAGCAAAATCCCAGAAGTAGAGCTGTGGCTCAAGTGGTAGAGGGCTATCCTTGAGCAACAAAACACTGGTACAGCACCTACGTAGGACCTGAGTTCAAGCTCCAGGACTGGCATGCGCACACACACTAAATGTGAAAAAATAAATCACAGTGGTTTTCCTCATAATGATGATATAACTGCAGAAATTTTAACTCCATTATTATTGTGATTAATTAAAAGCTATATATGTCTATAGCTTTATTACTCACTACATACACATGCAGGTTATTTCTCCTTTTCCAGTGGAAAACGTATACTTCTATAGAGTTGTGTTCTGGCACTTACATGCAATGTTCAGAACCCCTAAGTGTCTAGTTCAGAGTGTGGTGCATAGTAGGCAGTGAAAAACAGTCTCTAAAAGGGAGATAAATGATTATTTTTTTTTCTGGAAGATAGAAGGATCCACTCAAAACAAAGCAGAATCAAACAGTGTTCTTCAGTTGAGAATAGATCCTTTAAGTATAAAGAGCTTTGGGACTTTCCAAGCTTCAAGTTCCCTAGGGATATGTGTGTGTACAGTTATATGTACTCTCACACATATCACACTCAGAAACGAAAAACACTCTTATTCTTTTATCCTGTCTGTTTAACCACAGACATCTATAGAAAATGAAGTTTAAGTTGTTGGAGAATTGATGATACTAATACTATGATTACTGTGATTTTAGGATTAGCTCCTTTGAGCCCTTAGTGAAATATTGGCAGCTAGTGTTTATTTTGTGAGCATCTCTACTAGAAGTATTAATTCTGTGATTTTTAAATGAGTCTGCCTCTTCTAAAAACAAAAAAGACACAGGAAACCTTCAATTTGTTGTCTAAGTAAAAATGAACAGTTAGAAATTGTCAGATAGCTTGCAGAAATGAAGTAAAGGATCTGAGCAGTGTATAAGGAGCTGACTGAGTCTTCATCAGCTGGTGATCCTTGAGGAGTGAGTGGAGTTAGACAAGTCCCAGGGAAGAATGCGGAGTCATCACAGTGGAGGAGACAGCATGAGCAAAGGTAGGGGAATGAAGGCCTGGACAAGCACAGTGACATTGTTAGCATTCTGGTTTCCTCTGGAGTGCTGTCTGGAGGAAGGAGCAGGATTGACAGTTACAGGAAAGATGATAGTGCAAAGTATATGTACAACTTGACATTCTCAAAAGTTATCCATTTGTCCTTAAATCATTAATATTCGCGCTCATTTGTTACTTTTTAGGTGAAGATCTTTGTGATATTTAGCAGTATCCTTTGAAAGCTATGAAATTTATGAAATATATTTTAATTCAAATTATAGTGAAAAAATCTAGGCACATATATGCAATAATTTTTTTTTGTCATTTACAACTAAGTAACAATGATCACATTTTTTGTTTAGACTTTTGTAAAGATAAAACCAGGAAGTAGGTACTTCCTGAATTAGTACTCTGTTTATATTTTGAATATTGTAGAAAAACATTTGAATTTCCTAAGGCTAAAGTCTACATACCTGTGTCTAATAATTTTATATTGCTAGCATAGGATCTATAACAGAAAGTGAAGCTTGAAACTAGGATGAATTAGTAAGAAAATCATGGCTGGCTACACAAATCTGGCAGTGCCATTATGTTGTGTTGTTGCCTAGTTGAATGCCATCAAATGCAGTTTTTAGCTTTTCTTAAATTCCTTTTGTTTTGCATGGAAGTTGTTAATCTCTTAATTAGTAAATGGCTTTCTACTTTAAAACTAGGAATCAACCTTATTTGTTCATTATCTGTTATCTGACTGTCATCTACCTGTATCTGTAAATTTAATTCTATTCCCAAAAGAAAAGTCTTTTCCTACATATTCCATTTATCAGCTCTACCTGTTATTATAAAAGATATTTTCAAAGGAGCCAATGGTCATTTATATAAAAATAACTTTTTGTAAATATTTTGACATATATATTAAACAGTAAACTACTATGAAAAGATTTAAAATACTTAGTAAACATGTTACATGCAATTAACTTACCTTACCTTTTTAAAGGGCAGTATTAGTTGAGTTGTTTTTGGAAAGAGAGAAAATGTACACATAAATGTAGTAGAGTCTTCATGCAGCCATGTAGTCATAGAGCATTTATTCATATCATGTCACTACTTGTTAGTTTCCAGGTGTTGCTATAAAAAGTTACAAGATATTTTCTGATGATTCTGACTGCTCCTTTTCCAGGAACATTCACAGTGCAGTTTTATGATGGAGTAATCCGTTGTTTAAAAAGAATGCACATTAAAGCCATGCCTGAGGATGCTAAGGGACAGGTAAGAATGTTCAGTATTCCTGGCTACTCAAAGGGAATGGTAACTGATCAACATCTATGCATATATTTTTAAAGTGAACTAATTGTAGGGTTATGTGCTGATAGCCCCAAATAGCAGCAAGAAAAGCTTAGAATGTAAAATAAATTATACACTTGATTTTTGCTTCTTTGGTTTTAGACCTGCTAAAGTTATAGGTCACTAGTTTCTGTTCCAGGTGAAATCCCAGCATCCACTAAGCTGGTGTTGTCCTATCGACCCAGCTGGATCGTGTAACCAGTCTATGGGAAGTGAGGTAAGTGCCTTTTGCTTTTCCACAAAATTTTTGTTTTATTTTCTCTGGTATAGAGTATTATTTAGAGAGTTCATTTTTAATATGAAATTTTATATTGAGTTTCTTATCTTCTGCTTTCTTTCTACAAATCACATTCATCCTCTTTAAAAGGCGCTTACCTGACACTCTGTAGGCTGTTTCAAGTAGGGCTCTCTGAGTCACATGACAGAAGCAGTGTATTACATACTTGGCACTGCATAAAGCAAGAATGAATGGTAAGCATTTTGAAGGAGAGTCTGGGATGAAGTTGAAATTATGATTCCACTTGTGATTGTGTTTCCTGACATACAGAAAAGAAAGGTGCCATTAGAAACTTACAGTATTTTCTTTTATGTTCTGCTGTTATTTGGGATTTTCAGCACCTGGACCTACAATTAATTTTAAGAACTTGAAAGTCATCTATGAAATTGTGTGATGTGGAAAACTGTTACATACCTGTTCACTAGTGTGTAGCAAAACTGTGTTAGAATCACTGGTCAGTTTCAGTTAGGTGTGATTATATTATAGTCTTCTATTAAATAGGTAGTATCTCATTTTAAATAATTCTTTTCTAAACAACTCTTCTGAGAGGTGAGATTGTTTTCAATTACCTGGTTTTTAAATGTTTAATTATGAAATCAGCCAAGCAACTACATGTTAATTAATATTTAGATGTGATTTAAAAGAAAAATGCTTTTGCTCAGGAAATTACTTTGTGTCTTCCTGCATATATAAATATATTTTAAGTGCTAAATGTTTTGCTTTCTTGGTTACTGCATAGAAAGATTGGTTAAAATGTTGGGAACATAGTTGCATATCTGTTTAAATAAAAGTCTTATTAAGTATTTTAAGTTTGCTTTGAAACTATGATTTTTGTGTTCTGATTACTCATATCAAAAATGGCTAAAATTACAGGCTAGAGAAACTGATTTGATATTTTAAATGTTTATTGTAAGTACTTTAGTTATACCATGACATATGTTAACATTAAAGTCAATGCCAAGATGTAAAACTTTGGAAAGAATATTTGGGAAGCAGTATATTTCAGTTATTCATTTTTCTTCATAACTAAATAATAAACTTATAAGAACTGTTAATTAATTTTTAAAAATCAACAAGTTGTTAAAATCAATTTTTTTTCTTATTTTCACCTAGGATATATGCCAAATTGGATAAAGTTAAGACAGTGATATATTGAATATTATTTTTCTGGACTTTGACTAGTTTGAGAAATATTTTAAAAAGACAGGAAGTAAAATTAGCCAAGAATCACATATCAATAAATTAGCTAAGAATCATACACCAAATCATACTAGGGTAAACAAATAAATGCCATATGGAATTCTCTTCCCTAGACCTCGTATATGATTTGTGTTAAATAAAACAATAACAATATTAAGCTAAGGAATGATGGCTCATGCTTCTACTCTTTACTCAGAAGGCTAAGATCTCCGAATCTGGTTGAAGCCAGATCAGATGAGTCTCTTTATTTTCAATTAGCCAGAAAAATCTAGAAGTGGCTCAAATGGTAGAATGCCAGCCATGAGCAAAAAAGAAGAGCAAAAAGACAAGTCTTAGAGTTCAAGCCTCAGTACCACTGTGCACGCACACGCACACACACACACACATTTTTGTGTGAACCTCCAGATTAATTAATATTCTTAGCCTGCATAAAAAGCCTTAATGTTATTACTAAGTGAACTAATCGATTGCTACTGGTGAACTTCTGCTTGTATTTAAAGATTAACTTGAAGGACTAAGGGCAAGACAAATTGTAGAGTGCTTGCCTAGTTAGCAGAAGGCTCTGAGTTCAATCCTACATGCTAGCAAAAACAAAACGAAGCAAAACAAAATCTTTGCCTAGATTTGCCTCCACTCTCAATCCTGCTGCTTCAGCTTCCTACATATCTGGTGTTACAAGTGTGCACAATATGCTTACCTTAAAGAACTTTTTATAATACTTTGAATAAATTGTAAGCTATTGTTCTTGCATTATATTTGTAGACATTTTTCTCAACGAGGAAGATATTAACGTAGACATGTTGACTCAAAAGTTAGGATCTCCTCTCTCATCCACTCCTCTCTTACATAATTTTGAATGATGATATAATTCCCATGAAGCTGACATTTTACAGGGTGAAGATTGGTTTCTCTAAGGAGATACTTTCTTAATGTTATTTTTGAACTTCCATCCTAATAAAAGACAACAGAAATAATTATAGGGTGAGAGATGGAATCATTTACTTTACACTTAAATCTTATACCTTCTATTCCTTTTTCCCCTGTGAATGTGTGCTAATGTAAAATTTACATCGACACAGAATAGTGTCCCCTGCTGTTTACAAGACATTTTATGTATATATTGTCTTACTGGATTTTTTTGTAGCAGTTCTTTCAAAGTTAAGGCTATTTTTATTTTACAGTTAAGAATTGAAAGACCAGTTTGTAATTTTACTTAGCCAGTATGTACAAAGTAACTTCTTGAACTCATATCTTCTGATGTCAAACACAGTGCTCTTTTTTTTAGTGTATTTATTGTGCTATCTATGGAGTATGTGCAATGTGTAATTAGTAGTTTTTTTAATTCATAGAAAGATTCACAGTTATTTTTGACAGTGATTCTTTTCTATGTAAAAAAATTCAAGAGAATAATAAAAATCTGTATAATTACACTGCTGTCATTCATATACTGCATGATTAACAAATTGTATACTCAAAAAGCATTTTTAATTTTTTTGTTATGAATGTTGGAATGATTCCTTTTTTTTTCTTTCTTCCAGTTGTATCTCTTGGAGGTAGAAAACAGCATGGAATGGAAATTACTTTTGTCCCATGATGTTCTGCTACTTTTTTCTTTTCTTTGTGCTGGTACTTTGTGCTGGTACTCTTTGTACTGGGGCTTTAACTCAGGGCTTGGTCACTGTCCTCGAGCTTTTTTTCTCAAGGCTAGTATGCTACCACTTGAGCCACAGGTCCACTTGTAGCTTTTCGGTAGTTCATTGGAGATAGTCTCATGTACTTTCTGCCTGGATTGGCTTCAAAGCATGATCATCAGATCTCAGTCTCCTTAGTAGCTAAAATGACAGGCATGAACTACTGGCACTGAACAGATGTTCCACTTTTATAATTCTTTAAATACATGCCTTATACCATCAATACTTTGCTTGCATAGTTGTAGTTATTCTTTTTTTCTTAGTTGGTTTCTCTTCCTCATTTTTCTTCTTCTTTAGTTGTACTTGCTTTTACCTTACTACTTGAATGTTATTCTCAAGGCTCAGCTTATCCATAGGCTTTTGGGTGCTTTATCCTTCACTTTGAGAATCTTCCATTACTCATCTACATTCCTGAACAGACTGAGTACCATACCTTTGTTTAATGTTTTTGAAATCATGCTTTCTCCTTTCTTGCTAGCTAACCATTAGCTAGCAAATACTACTTTCTTAGCTAGCAAAACCTGCTTATGTTCAGGGGAAAACTTTTCTACCATTGCCTCTAAAGCCTCCCACTAGTCTTTTTCTTCAGTCAAAAATTAATCTTTTCATTGTTCCATAGTGTTTTGTTTATTCCTTTAGTATATTATGATCACACTCTCTTATGGATAATTTTATTTTCCTGGCTAATTTTTCTTTTTTTCTTTTTTCTTTTTTTGGGTCCAGTCGTGGGGCCTGAACTCTGGGCCTGGGCGCTGTCCCTTTGCTCTTCAGCTCAAGGTTAGCGCTCTACCACTTGAGCCACAGCGCCACTTTTGGCTTTTTTCTTTTTGCTATGTGATGCTGAGGAATTGAACCCAGGGACTCAGGAATGCAAGGGAAGTGCTCTACCACTGAGCCACCTTCCCAGCCCTCCTGGCTAATTTTTCTTATGGGCAGGACCAGCCCCTCCCCTCTCTAGTTGTCTGTTGAATATTTAGCATAGTACCTGTTTTATATAGTGGAATACTCAATAGAAAGTCAATGAATAAGTGTATTAGTTGCCCTCATATATTTTTAGTTCATTTCAATCATGGACAGAGAGAAGGCACGTGTGTGTGTGTGTGTGTGTGTGTGTGTGTGTGTGTGTGTGTGTGTGTGTGTGTGTGTGTGTGTGTGTGTGTGTGTGTGTGTGTGTGTGTGTGTGTGTGTGTGTTGGTATTGGGGTTTGAACTGAAGGTTCTATCCTTTAGGGTCAGTTCTATCCTTTAGGGTTTTTGTTCAAGGCTGGCATTCTACCACTTGATTCACAGCTCCGCTGTCAGCTTTTGGTGGTTAATTGGAGATGAGTCTGATGGATTTTACTGCTGGTGCTGACTATGACTATCAGACCTCAGCCTCCTGAGTAGCTAGGATTACATACATGAGCTACCATCACCTAGCTTATTTGTTTTGGGTTGTTGTTGTGGCTGTTCTTGTTGGTTTTGTGCCTGTACTAGGGCTTGAACTCAGGGCTTGAGTCCTGACTCTTTTTTTCCTCAAAGTTAATGTAATACCACTCTGTTCTGACCTTTTCTTGGTAATTAAGATAAAGAGTCTGGGGGTTTTCTGCTGATCTAACATCAAACCGCCATCCTCAGATCTTAGTGTCTTGAGTAGCTAGAGTTACAGGCATGAGCCACAGTCACCTAGCTGATTTGTTTTTAATAGTCTATGTATGTTCGCTGTGTGTCTTTGAGACTGAATTATTGTCAGCTTGCAATCCTTATTGCTTAATTCTGTTAATAAATAATGCTTATATCTATGAATGTGACCCATGGAATTCATTTGATGAAAAATTGTTTTCAGTTGATTGGCTGAGTAATATATTATACATCTTGAATAACTAAGTTAGTCTATTTGATGGAGCTTAGTAGCCCCAGTGCAATATTAACTCTGTAAAATCTTATAACTAGTTGTTTAAAAAATTTAATAGAAATCAATGCAAAAAATTAATACTTTTTCAAAACTTATTTACAGAATTTTTTTTTTTGCCAGTCCTAGGGCTTGAACTCAGGGCCTGGGTGCTGTCCCCGATGTACACAAGGCTAGCGCTCTACCACTTGAGCCACAGCACCACTTCTGGCTTTTACTGAGTAGTTTACTAGAGATAACAGTCTCACAGACTTTACTGACCAGCCTGGCTTTGAACCATGATCCTCAGATCTCAGCCTTCTGAATAGCTAGGATTACAGGTGTGAGCCACTGGCACGTGGCTTCTACATACTTTTTTAATAAGGAAAAATAATATAATCAGTAGGAATACATTTCTTTCAATCTTTTTAAGGTTATAATAAGAGTTTTCTTCCTCTTTTGTGGCCCATTTTATTATTAAAAGAAACATAATGCAGCTTTTAAGGTAGAATGAGATGTAGTATGCTAGATTTTCTCTATGTTTTCTTAGTTACTTGCGAATGCATCAAGAAAATGTTATTCAATATTTCCCTATTTTATAGATTTTTTACAACCCATCTAACCTATTAGGTTATTAAATTTAATAATCTTTGATGATCTGCCATGTAAACATAGGAAACAACTTTAAAGATGTGACATATTTCTATTCATGAGTGTAACTACATTTAGATTGTTTGTGTGTTTTTTTTAATACTTTACATTTTGTGTTTTTTTTCCTTTGGAGGATTGGATAGCTTTAGTAAAAGCAGCTGCTGCAGCCGCAGCCAAGAATAAAACAGGGACTAAACCTCGAACCAGTGCTAACAGCAATAAAGATAAAGAGAAAGATGAGAGAAAGTGGCTTAAAGTACCTTCAAAGAAGGATGAAACTTCAACTTGTATAGCCACACCTGAAGTTGAGAAGAAGGAAGATCTGCCTACATCTAGTGAAACATTTGGTATAGAATACATTTTTTTGTTTTCCTTCCTAATGAAACTGGTGAACTGAAGTAGTGATTAAGTTGAATCCTAAGGTTCTATCTAATTTTGAACTTAAAATTGTTAGGCTTTTTCCTCCTATCATAATAGGATGGATGACTTAAAAATACTTTGTATCTCTGAAGATTAAGTTTTATTTAGTTCAGTACTGGGCATTATGTACTTTCAATATTCTTGAGTAGAAATAAATTGAAAGCATTGATTTGAGACTTCTTGATTAGTAGGATTTTTTTTCAGGTGTTTTATTAGTTTTTTTAACTTTTCCTATATTTTCATATATATATATTTCAGTGTGCTATAATGGAAGAAGTAATTTTCTTCTGCTCTTCTTCCTTGCAGAATGACTTTAGTAGGATTTTTTTTTCTGGTATATCAATGTGGAGGGATTTGTTTTTTAAAGTTGTAAACAAGCATCTGTTATAAAATAATCAAAAGATTTTTTTTTTACCACTTTGCTGTTTTTAACTGTGTTTTAATTTTGGATTCTAGATAAACTCTCATATATGTGTTCTGTTAAAAGTAGGACTTCATGTAGAGAGCGTTCCAAAGATGGTCTTTCCACAGCCAGAGAGTGTATTATCAAACAAGAGGAAAAATAATCAAGGCAACTCATTTCAGGCAAAGAGAGCTCGACTTAACAAGATTACTGGTAATCTACAATGATTCTTTTTGGGGAGACTGGAGGGTTTCATTTTAGACTGGATTGTTTCTAATAAAGTAAAATGCATCTTTTGGTTCCATGTAATGGACTGCTTATTAAGAAAGACAGTTACTTTCTGGTTCTTTAAAGTAAATGTCTTTCAGCACTACCACCTCTGTCTGCTGTAAAATGTCAATCACGAAGTGTGTTCTGTCCCTACCTCACAGGGATGTTGTGAGGATTGAAAAGCTCAAGTGCCTCAAAATTCTATAGTTTTTAAATGATTGTTGTAGGAATAGTTTTTAAAAGAAACTGGTTCTCTGCCTTTGTCAACCTATGGTTGAGATTTTAGATATTTTTATTTGAACATTCTTATTAACCAGGCTTACTTAAATATGGAAACTACTTGAGAGGAAATGGTTTAAAAAGGTAGATATCTGAGTTAAATTTAGTTCCTGAGTCACTTAATTTCTACTAAAATACTTCTGTAGTTTATCATTATTATCATTCTTCTACCATTATCTTTAGATTATACTCTAGATTTGGGGCATATTTCTCTGTACCTTCTTTTTTTTTCTTTTTTTTCCCCTATGCCTTCTTGTAATGAAGGGTGTAGCAATGGTGGGATGATTGAAAATATGGACAGGCCTAGCACGTTACACAAGAAGGGATTGAAGTATTAGACTTAGAGCAGATCATATCATTTCCTGTTGCTTCTAGATCCTATTCAGAATAATGTTTAAAACAAATTGTGAACAAATTTTAATATTTTGAGTATTTGTTAAAGTGCACTTTGAGTATTCTAATTATTCCATTCTATATTCTTTTTTAAGGACAAATGCCTTTTAGTGTATTGGTCTAATAAAGCTATCTAAACCTCTGTTGCCATTTATTTAAATACTTTGAAGTTTAGTTTCATTGTCAGATGTAGGAATAAACATAATTACAAGGTTTGACCATTTACTGAAAGAGGAAGTCAACCAGAAGATGACCCTGGAGCTGAGGGTATTAGAGCCACTCATCTTGTAGTGTTTATCTGATCGTCATTTCTTTCATAAGCTGAAACTATTTGGTCTCTTCCATTTGCCTACATTATTTTCATGCCTTTCTCTGAAAGTGATATATTTAATCCAAGATAAGTATTTCAAATCTTTTCACTATTAAATCTTTTTTATAAACTGTTAGCCTTTGAGAAAAAACAAGATATTTTTAAAATAATTGTTCTGATCATAACCTGAGACTTCAGTTTTGACTTAAAATGTGAACCCCATTGCTACGTGCAGGGCAAAAGAGGAATATTACACAAAGATTAATAAAGAAAACTATTGAAGAATTCAAGATGGAGGAAGATGGAGGTGATACTGTCATAATACATCTGCCCCTTCTTCATCGTGGTTTTTCTTTTAATCATATAACCTGATTTCAGTCATAGTCAGTATATTCTCATGCCTTCTTCTACATGCTTTCCTGGGAGGTCCAAGCTCAACATTAAAAGAAGTAAAAAAAAAAAAAGAAGATGAAAACAGCTGAGGCTATAGTGGTGCATTTGTCTCTGCATGCATGTTCTTGGAGAGGCAGTAGTAGGGAAAAACTCCATTTTTCCCTGTGCATCAACTTAACAATCCTAAGTTACTTAGCAACACTATGTGCCTTGTGTGGAAGGACTTTCTCTTCACTTGCCCTTGGGTATCTCAAATGTGATGATTTGGCAGCAAGAAGAGAGCATAAGATTATGAATGTAAAGCCATGATGGTCTTTTACCTTTACTTACTCAGAAGATCTAAATGTGTGATACTTCTTTTAGTAGTTTGTGTCTCCTGCACTTTTTATTTCAGATTACAAATATGACATGCAAAAGGACAATAGATACTGTACGATTGTCCTCAATAGTTGAAACCTGGGCTTCTGTTCAAGAAATTTAACTTGTGCCCATGAAAAATAATATAAAATAGCTATTTTTGTCAGCACTGTAGTATATTTTAATATTTGCAATCTTACCTATGTGTGTCTTTTTGTCCCTTTCCTTCTGGAAATAATGTGGCTAAAATTACAAGTAGCTTGCTCTGACACACTTTCTCTATTTCACTTAATATTTAAATTACTTCCAGCTGAAGTTAGGTAGATGATCACTGGATATGTTTTATTTTGTATTTATTCACTCTCTCCCTTCCCCATAAACATATACTACAACAATTCTAAACCTGATATCTGTACAGAATAATGCCAGTGTTTTCAAATACATAGAAGTTGGAAAGGTATTTGCATAACACGTGTTATTCCAGTGACTACTTAAATATTCTTTACTGCTTATTGTTATTTACATATTGCCTTAAAATCCACATTTTTACAAAGATAATCAGTTAGTCTATAACTTTAGAACAAAGTTGCAGGTAAACTGAGTTTTAGTAGATCCAAAATTGTTTATAGGGTGGAAGAGAAGAGAATAATTATTACAATGATTAGTTCTAATTGTTTCTAGGCACTCCTGGAAGTTCCAGGAGTTTATTCAGTTAAAGATATAGATATATATTTTATTATTATTACTTTTATTTTTTGTCCATCATGGGGCTTGAACTCTGGGCTTGAGCACTGTCCCTGTACTCTTCAGCTCAAGGCAAGCTTTCTACCGCTTGAACCACAGTTCCACTTCCATCAATTAAAGATGTTTTTTAAAAAATTTGTGAAGCTGGACACTGGTGGCTTACGCCTTGTAATCCTAGCTACTCAGGAAGCCGAGATCTGAGGATCATGATTCAAAGCCAGCCCAGGCAGGAAAGTCTGTGAGACTCTTACTCCAATTAACCATTCAAAAAACCAGAAGTGATGCAGTGGCTCAAGTGGTAGAGCACTATACTTGAGCTGAAGAGCTGAGAGACAGCGTTCAGGCCCAGTGTTCAAGCCCCATGAGCGACAAAAAAATATTTTTTTTGAATTACCATGATTTAAATTGACTGGGAATATGTTGTTGACACTAATATCAAGGATACTTGATCTTGATCCCAGCAAAAGGATTTTGTGTTAAAATACATGCATGAAAAGTAGACCAACAATTTAACCTGTAGATTTGAGTGCTCCTTTTTCTATTACGATAAGCTCTGGCCTCTATTTCTGTTGTCAAAAAGAGTAAGATTGCACATTTTATAATGAAATAGACTGCTCTGAAGCTGTGACTTTGCTTATGGGTAGGTGTTAGAACTCTTACTCAGTGTTTCATTTCTTACAATTGTACAATATATATTAGGAAGGAAATCTAGAAGAAGGCCTGTAGTAATTTGCTGATAATTAGCAAGTATTTACTAACAAAATTAAAATTTTATTTGTTTTCATTACTTCTCATTTACTGTGGATATTACATTTCTTCTTAAAATGGTACCAACTTAACAGATTTTGGGCTGCCTTTTACAGCAGAAATAGAGTTCTCTCTTCAAGTGCATGTTTTTATTGTTTGTCCCCTTTTGTCGCTTATGCTTGATAAGTTTAAGTTATTACAGATATAAAGCATATAAAATTTGTCATGCTTTATAAAAATTTAATTTTAAGTAGTGTTTTCTGAAGTTTCCCTTTTGGTTCTTACAATTTATAACTCTTAAATTGTAATGAATATAAAACATGAAATCTTATCATTCATGCTTTTTATAATTTAATTTTATATAGTTTTTCTTAAGTTTCCTATTACTTTCTTGTGAGTACATTACAAAGGTATAATTTTCCTTCCTAAACTATTAAATTGGGATAGCTTTTAACGAATTAAAAGATGGCTCTGTAATGTTTTAATGAAATTTACAGGTTATGGATGAATCATTTGGTTTTAAATCTTGCAACACTTTTTAAATTTGCAGGTTATGTTTCATTAAATTTGTTGATCAATGTTAAAAAGTATACCACCTGTAGAAATAGTACCGAAGATATAATTAGTGTATTGAATAGCAAATGTATTTCCTGTTCTAATAGCCCTTAGAAATATAACCAAAACTCAATTCCTTAGAAAAGATGGACTTCATCTCTAATGGTCTATTTTCTCTCCCTCTATCCCCTTCCCTTCCCTAACCTTCTCTTCCCTACCCTTCCTTAACCTTCCTATCCCCTTTCCTCTCCCCTCCCCTCCCCTCCCCTCCTTCCTTCCTTCTCTCTTTCTCTACTTTTAAATTTTAGAAAATTAGCTGGACAAGAAAAACTTAGTGAGTGAATGTGCTTTTAAATATTAAATATCCTATGCAGCATCGTTTTTTGCTCCTGTAAAACATAATTATGTTTGAATTTATTATTTAAAATGTTTTATACACTTGTTTTAGCCAGGTGCCAGTGGCTCACGCCTGTAATCCTTATTTACTCAGGAGGCTGAGACCTAAAGGATCACAGTTGGAAGCCAACCTGGGTGGAAAAGTCTGTGAGATTCTTATCTCCGATTAAACAGCAAAATACTGGACTGGAAGCATGGTTCAAGTGGTAGAGCAACCAGCTGTAAGCAAAAAAAAAATCGAGGGAGTGTTCGAGGCCCTTAGTTCACACTCTGATATTGGAAAAAACAAAACTAAAGTTTGAATACCATTTTCCCATTTAAATGTGCATTTTATGGGATATGGGACAGGAACAGAATATGTAGACTGTTATCTCAGTCTGAGCCTATTTCCAGGTCTAATACCAGACAGTGATGTATCAAACTCATTTCTGTCTGTTGTTAAAACAGGAACCCTAAGTATTGAACTTTCCAGTACAGCAAAAGTATCTTTTGCCTAATGCAACATTTGGCCCCAGTACTACTCTTGAGAGTATGGTTTTGATATGTGTATTCCCATCTAGATGACTTAATATATTTGGCGTAGTTATAAAAGGCAAGACACATAGCCTGTTGTAGCTCTATGTTGTGTATTATTCATGAGAGCCTTTTTTTCTCCTAGGCAGTAATGTTGTAGATATCTTTAGCTATAAAGGTGGTATAAAAATGCTGTAGTAAGCTTATTCTTAAGTTGTTATTAGTTTTTAAATATGCTTTCTCTTGTGCAAAGGTTTTACATGGCCAGATGATTTTTTTGGTTACCCTTTATAAGTGGCCATAACAAAAATAAATAATTGTTATTATATAAATATAAACCTGGTTTCATTGGAAGTACAGACTGAGCAAAAATTTTTAGCTACAAAAATACTATTAATTTATTAGAGCAGAGTTTTGATGATATGGGAAATTGTAACTATTTTAAAGGAAATATTATGACTTATAAAGTTGGGAATAAAAATTTGAACATCATCATCTAGAATGAAGTTATAATTAAAATATTCTAAGCAGAATTCATACATAAAATGAATCCATTCATATTCTTGGATTTTTTTTTTGAAAATACTAAACGTAAACATATAAGGCTTAGGATTAAAGAATATAAATGAAATTTAAAACTGGGATAATGTTTGAGCTAATGATACCACAAAACTAACTTACTTTGTAAACAGTAGTGATCTTGATTTGAACTTAGAAGCCATGAGATTTAAAATTGTCATGGACTGTGTGTTTAAAAATCTTAAAATGTAGTATTTCATACACATACACATAAATTTTGATTTAGTCCCTTAATGTATTAAGGGTATTGGTATTTTTGAAAAGTAAGCATTTATAGTTGTTTCTTACATATTAACTGGGTGAGCACAACTGCTAAAATTATTGAGACATTAATTAGGATGAGATCAATTTTTTTTCTAATAAGGCATTTCTGTACAATTTTTCTCAAGGTTTGTTGGCATCCAAAGCTGTTGGGGTGGATGGTGCTGAAAAAAAAGAAGACTACAATGAAACAGCTCCAATGCTGGAGCAGGTATGAAATGGTAGCATTTGATTTATTCAAGGTTCCTTCCCACTGGAATGATCACCGAACTGTAGTATCCATGTAATTGAAATTGCCCTTTAAATCAGATATGGCTGTAGGATGCTTATTCATGGATGGTATATTTTTAGCTGCCTTCTCCATGGTATCCAGATAAGCTATAGATTTCATTAGCATTTATTTTCAATAGACTGGCATTAAAGTCTTTGTCTCTAAAATTTGAAAGCCTGGAGACAGGCATCCCAGGGTATAAGCTTCCAGCTGGACACCTTTAAACTAGCTTACAAAAAGACCCTTACACAAATACTTTTCATTTGTGATTTAAAGCAGGGTTTTTTGGCATTGAATAAAGCTTCTTTTGTAAGAAGTTTCTTTTATATTGTAACAATTGGTGTTGTTTGACTATGTGTTTTATGAATTGATCAATGAGCCATACATTTTTGCTAGGATGTATATTTTAATAACTACAATAAAAAGAGAGTTTAAAATACTATAAAGGGTCTGTCTTAAACCACCTAATAGAGGAATTTAAAAATGAAGGTTTGCAGTTGCTAGGTTTTGCCTTGGCTACCTTCGGATTCCCCTAATACCTGTACATAACAAACTGCATGCTTTTACATTCTCTAAGGGCTTCACTTCTTAGACACTGTAAGACTATAAGAATACAGTAATAGCCATAACTGGATTTCCTTGGTTCTCCTGTTTTAAAATCTGAGCCTTAATGTAGTTTTAATATCTCCTTTTTGTATTTTAATTTTCTTTATTAGTAGCCTAATAAAGAAGACTTTAAAATGGGTATTTTTTGCTCTTCTCTTTATGTATTTTAAAGAATAGTCCAAATTTAAATGATACTGTATTGAGGTTTTCAGTGTTACTTTTGGCCTGATTTAATAACAGTACATTGGTTTGATGCTTCCGTTATTTTGTATTAAATCAGTTGTCAGTTGATGACTCATATCTTTGGATTTTCTGTGATCATCAATCAGTTAAATATTTTTCCCATTTGTCAGTATACCAGCCAAATTTAAATCACTTTTTTACTGTATATTATCATATTCAGTGTCCCAGATATAAAAATATTTTGTACTTTCACTGCTGTCACAGTATTCTCAAAATGAATATATCAGGGACTTGGGTAATAAAATGTTTCTGGAAAATTCATTACAATGTCAATATTTTATTACACACAATCCTGTAAGGCAAATGTGGTTATTACGTATGGAAGCTAGTATAGAGACTAATACCTACTTCAGAGAAATTGAGTTAGAAAAAGAAAGGAAAGTCAAGCAATTTGGTTATTTGTATTTGCATAATTAAGAGTTTTTGAGAGTCCTTGCCAGTTTTGTAACAGAGACCAATAATCATTCATGAAAACTTTGTAAACTATTTAAAATTTTACGGAACATCCTACTGTGTTCCCTCAGTTTTTGTTATTCAGGTTGGTTTCAATGTGAAAATGTTTTGTAACTAAACTCTTAATTTTTATGCTATATGTTAGCCCTACTTCAGAGTTAAAAAAAAAACAAGTTAATTACATCTCAGTTGTTATCAACAATAGACCTAAAGGAGAAGCATTGATTGTCACTAATTTCTGTTGCTCTAATGAGTTAAAATGTCACTCTTGACATAGATTGATAACAGGCCTATAGCCAAAAGTTAACTGTGCTAATGGATTTATTTTACTTATAATTTTTACAAGATCAAACTCTGTGGTCTTGAACCCCATTCTCAGATTATTAATTATAGATTATTGTATTAGGGAAATGTCATGTTATATTTACTTTTGGATAAAACTTGCATTTGATGCATAATAATTCAGTAAGTTTTTAAAGTGTTAATTTGTCCTTGTTTAGAAGTTAAGCACCTTATCAAGATACTAATTTAAGTTTTAAAATTTTGTTTTATAACTTTGTAACTCAAGAGTAATGGATGCTGTAGTGATGTCTTTCACTTATGTGAAGATGAACAATAAAATTGTTTATTTACACGTAATGGCTCTAATTACTTTTCTGGCAACACCTTTTATGATAGCTTAGGAATACTTTGCACTTATAGAGTACTTTTCAAATGACAAATCCCTCTTATGCACATGTATAATGAGTAAATTCAAGAATAGAAAAAGTGAGAAACACAGGGGACACCTGACCCAGGCCTTTTATAAATGGTATGTCCAGCCTGCATCTGTACAGCATTTACTGGAGTCCTACTCAATACCAAATATGCACTTTTTATCTCTACCAAAATGTGAGGATCTTTATTGGGAACAGAACTATTAATTTTACCTCAACGATGTTTTTCTATATTCTAGAAGATTATAGACAGTTTAGTCATTCCTCAAAACATATAGAAGGAAAAGGTTTCTTGGGGACAGCTATGTTGTTCATAGTTTTGGCCATTTGACTCTTTACAGTGGCTTATCATAGTATAGATTTTTGGAAATGTATATCATGGTTTGTTCTCAAATACATATATCACAGAAATACAATCTAGACTTTCCTACATGATAGCTTTCAAACAATCCTATGTGACTATTTCTGTTGTTTTTTAATAGTAGATACATTCACACATATTTTTACATATAGGGAATTTTACTGGCAAGCAAATGAAAATATTCTATATGAAAGAACTGACAAAAGTTCTAATTTTTTTTTGAAAGTATCAGTTGGCAGGAAGAAGGTAAAAATCTCTCATCTAAGAATGCGACGTATTTTGTTTTAAAATCCGATGTTTTAACTTACACTTTATCTCTTTGGTTTTGTTTTTTTTAGTTTTTCTGTTGTTGCTTGTTTTGTATTGTTTTTTAGTCTTTTAACTCTATTGCTGGTGGCTCTGATTTCATGATGCATTATGCTTATGAAACGCCAGCTTTCAGCACTAAAATGAGTTAAAGATAATGTTTCATTAATTTGGTCATTGTTTTTTCCTGTTGAAACCTTTCTTTAAAGAGAAACTGTCTGCTTACACCTTCACATTCAATTTGAGATTATAAATCATCTCTAAAATCAAAAGTTTAATATATTTCTCTAGTGTTCTAACGCATGAAAATGCTTTAATCAGTGTTCTTTGCAAACTATAATCAGTGTTTTTGCAATTGTGCTTCCAAAAGAAGTATATTTCAATTACATACTAAAAATATTTGTCCAGTAAGACAATTTTTTTATGTTCTGAGAACATGATGAAAAATTTAAACTGAAAGTTGACAGTATCCCTTTAAAGACAGCCTTTTCAATTTTTTAGTTAATAATTTGTGGGGTTCTTTTGGTTTTTCATTTGTAATAGAAATGTTATATGTTGCTTAACAATGTTTTTGGGTACTAAAGTTACTTAACAATCAAATAGAATACAAGAACAAAAATGAAGAAACCAAAATAAAAATATCAATTTTTTATTATTCATTCAGGCGATTTCACCTAAACCTCAAAGTCAGAAAAAAAATGAAGCTGACATTAGCAGTTCTGCCAACACTCAGAAACCTGCACTGTTATCCTCAACTTTGTCTTCAGGGAAGGCTCGCAGCAAGAAATGCAAACATGAATCTGGAGATTCTTCTGGGTGTATAAAATCCCCTAAATCACCACTTTCCCCAGAATTAATACAAGTCGAGGATTTGCCGCTTGTATCTCAGCTTTCTTCTTCAGTGATAAATAAAACTAGTGAGCACAGATTTTTAAAAAATAGTTACTTATTCTATAAGATACATTAAAAACTTTGATTGTAGTTATATTGTATTTTTATGAAGTTGCTTTTTGAAAATTCAAATTTAAGAGAATATGTAGAGGAGGCTTAAAGCTACTTCAGGGACAAGAATCATAGATATTTCTTACTGATTTATTTGTTGAGAAATTAGCTGGTAGAGAAACCTTATCATTCAATATCACAAATTCCAGTGTAGTTGGACTTCTCAAGTAATAATGCAAGCTTAATGAGAGGCCTGATTCATTACAAAAAACAATAAACAAACAAATCCCCCTAAAACCCAAGAGATAGAAAGGCCTGGGGTAGATATTTGCACTTAGCTTTTTAACACTATTCCAATGATTACATAATCATTATTCTCATTGACTAACCCTCTGCAGTTCACTTTATTTCCTTGTAGTATTTACAATATAGACTTAAATTAGATCCAATACTTCATGAAAGGATAATACTTTTGTGGTTATATTTTAAAGGTTTTACCGTGCCAATACTAATCTTTCAAGTGTAAACCTAGTCTTAAAAATCCCTTTTCAACATTTCAGTATATATTTGGATGTATATGTGTACATAGATAGAGATATAGAGATGTATCTATATATGTCTATATATCTCTATCTCTGTGAACACACACACATACACACAAACACCAGTATTCCAAGTTGGAGACACGCAGCAGTTATCTGGAAAGTCACTAAGTAAATGACATTTTTTTCCTCAATGTGCAACAACACATTCATTAGTAACATCAGTAAATTATGACACATCTTTATACATGTTATGATGTATCTCCAAAATAAAGATGTTGGCATTTAAAAGACTATCAAATATGCTAACTCTTCCATTTGGTTGTCATATCTGCTACCAAGGCATATTTTTCGATTTTTGATTAGAAATTTTGTTTGCTTTTATGTTGTTACTTTGAGTGAATGGAATAGAAAGGAATTAAAATCTCATGGACTTCCTTATGACATTTATATAAAATAATGTCAATAGTAACAAGAATGTCACATGACATTGATAAGCACTTTATTTTGAAGTTGTTTTCTATCTTGGTATTATAACCATAATGACATAAAAGTTGCAATGTATTCTTTCATTTATTCCCCATAATCATCCTGTCTTTTTCATTTTGATTGTTGTGACATACTCTTGAATATTTGAAGCATCAACTCCTTTAGACTCATTCTGTTTCTTCTTATAAATGAAGAAGAGTGCACTGGCCTATGTAATCCTGCCTGTTATAAACAAATAGGTTTATATGGCAAGTAGAAGAAATCTCAAAGTTGAAAAAATTCAGATTTCCAAACATTTGTATTACATTATTAGCAGGTGTTTAAATAACAAGTTGTTTAAAAAGCAAATAAAAAAACATATAAAGGCAAGAATAGTATCAAATATTTTATTCTTTTAAAATCTTATTTTGGCCCACAGTAAGTACATTATAATTTGTTTGTGTTCAATTTTTTTAATGAATCAGGCCTAGAAATAATATTTATAAAGAATCGATTTGGGGGGATGAGCATGGGATGTAAAACTATTTACATTAGTTTTACATTGGCAAGTAAAGCAAAGGACTAACTAGAGTGTATGTAAAATTTTTGTCACCTATGTCCCTGCTTTCTTAACTTAGTGTCTAGGTTTATAATTTTTTTTACTAAAGGAAAAATGGCAGTTTGCACAATAATGTACAAATAGAGGATGGAATATAGTCACTTGGGGGACCTACTTGAAATTAATGTTCCATGTTATTTTCTTTTAGTCATGGTAGGTTTAGATTTTTTGAATTTTTGATTAACTCTTTGAATAGGGCACAATTTTTACCTTTAGTTAACTTGGAACATGTCATTCCTGGTGGATATCTTAAAACATCATCAGAGGACAGAATTTGAGTCATTTTCTCATTTATCTCCTTAAATATTATAAGATGCTCCTGGTATGTATCTGCTTCGTGAACATTCAAGATCTTTTTCTAGGTCCTTCACAGCCTGTGAATCCCCCTAGACCTTGCAAACATAGTGAGCGGAGAAGAAGATCTCAGCGCTTAGCCACCACACCCATGCCTGATGATTCTGTAGAAAAGTTTTCTTCTCCCTCTCCAGCCACTGATGGGAAAGTATTCTCTATCAGTTCTCAGAATCAGCCAGAGTCTTCACTACCAGAGGGTAATGTATATTGATTTCCTACAGAAACAAAGATAAAGGAAGATAAAGAAAAAAAAACCTTAAAATAGCAATTATTTGAATATTAAGAAATTTCTGCTTTTTCTCTGTAAAATCATTTGGACTTAAAAGCAGTTCCCTTATTCTATAAGTATTTATCAAGCACCTTCTTTGTGCCAGGCACTGCTTAACTTAACTTAACTTCTTTATTTTGTGTAGTGCCTGATGCTACACGTGTGCCACTTGAGAAGCTAGGACCATGTCTCCCTCTTGATTTAAGTTGTGGTTCAGAAGTTACAGCACCAGATTCCTCTTTCCGTAATGAATGTTCCAGGGCAGAAAAGGAAGATCCACAGATGCTTGCAAATCTTTCTTCCAAAGCAGTAACTGATGGCAAAGGAGCTCCAGCAGCAGCAGGTAAGGGATCTCATTCTGAGTTTGTTTGTAGATGCTGGGTGTACACGAATGTGTAACTGAACTGGAATTCATATGTAATCCTGTTCATAAATACTTTCTTGGTAATATTTATAGATGATAGAGTCTGCCTGTCTTTTTGAAAGGTATTTTTTACTACCATTTTCCTTATTCCCTGGATCTACTGTGCCACTGTGTATACACTGTATATTTCTCTCTTCCTCCTTACATGCTTATTTCTACTAAATAGAAATTATTGGCAATAAACATAATTATAGAAATTCTTTTGAAGTCAGAATTCTTAATATGGTCAATTATTAGGTTTCAAAATTAAATCATTTAATTAGAAAGCACTTAGATGTAAGTATATACCTGTATTTAATGTAACCCCATATTTTAGAGAGAGTCGCCTAATGGAATATCATTAATTGCAAAGTTATAAGGACTTCACATACTTAACACATTTTGGGGGTGCTGTTTGTGTGTGTATGTGAGTGTGTGCATGTGTGTGTGTGTGTACATGTGCACACCAGTCCTAGTGCCTGAACTCAAATCATGGGTACTGAGCTTTTTCATTCAAGTCTAGCACTCTACCATTTGAGGCATACCTCCACTTCCAGCTTATGGTGGTTACTTGGAGTTAAGAGTCTCATGGACTTTCCTGTCCTCTGGCTTTGAATTGTGATCCTCAGATTTCAGCCTCCAGAGTAGCTAACATTTTAAGTGTGAGCCACCAATGCCTGGCTTGTTCTTATTTATTTATTTATTTTTGTATCAGGATGCAGTATTCGAAGTTTTTTAAAACTGACAGAATGGCAATTCATACCATATAATTTAAGTATTCTATTTTTTAATTTAATTTTATTGTCAAGGTTATGTACAGAGCGTTTACAGTTACGTATATAAGATAGTAAGTACATTTCGTGTTGAACATTGTTACCCCCTCCCTTGTTTTTCTCCCACTTTTCCTTCCCCTCATCATCCCTCCCAAGCTGTAAAGTTCATTTCCAACATACTGTCCTGTGAGTATCACTGTTGCATTGGTTTGACCTTTGTCCTTTGTCTCACTATTTTGTTGTTACCCTTCCCTTCCCTAATTCAGATAAACATATATACAATACTCAGGGTACCAAAATCAAATACAGTGACAATAGGGGATATACCATAGGGAAAAAAGAATGAAAGAAAAAAAGAAGTAACTTCACATAATACATTTAAAATACCAGCAACAAAGATAAACCTCTTGTTTCCATATCTTGGAGTATTCTTTTAATATTGGCTGGATAAAAGGATCTGAATTGAATAAGTTCTGAAATGGAGAAAATAAAGCAGCCAGTTGTATTATTAATAATTATATTTAGCAACCTTTAAAGAGTAGGATAAAGGGTTGTTATTTGTAGTCATGGTATATATTGAAAAAAAGATAAAACTTAAGAAATATACTATAGTTTACTGCTTTCAATTTCTCATTCCTCTTTTCATAGTAAAGATGCCATACTGTTACATAAAGCTACTTATAATTCCATTTTATCTGTGGAGCTCAAAGTTGTTTTATACAGGATAGAATTTACTTATATTGCTTAACAAAAAGAAAATGTTGACATCTGAAAATTGATCAGTTTTGAAACATTTCTTGTACTTTCTTGAATTGATCCATTACCTTTCACTTAATTTTTTAAACCTTGTACTTTATTGGAGAAATTAATTCTATTTCCCCCTTCCTCCACAAGACTGGTTAATTACTTTTGAGATTTTTTTCTGATAAAGATCTTACTCAGTTTTTTAAGTCTTATGTTTGATATGGTGCTAAGTATATAAAATATTTATGGTCATAATGATGCATATCCATTAGGAAAATTAGTTTTAGGTATGTATGTGAACATATTTATATTGTCCTTAAAATAGTAATATGACTGAAATACAGCTCAATTTAAATAGCCTTGTTACAACTAAGAGATGTCAGCTCAATCATAATATGCTCAAAAGATGAAGTAGTGATTGGGTATGGATATCTTTGATCCAGGAGATTTTTTTTAATTAATAAGTTTTTTTATTGTGAAAATACTGTACACAGGGGTTACAATTACATGAGCAAGGTAATGAGTACATTTCTTATTAAGCATTGTTGCCTCCTCCTTTGTTTCCCCTACCTTCCCATCCCTCCCCCCACAAAGTTGTAAAGTTCTTTTTTTGACATAACGTCTTGTACATCTCATTGTTGCAATGGGTCCACCTGTATCCCTATTTCAAAATCAAATTGATCCAGAAGATTTTGCTTCGAAAAAGAGTTTAGCTTTTCCTCCAAAACTTTCTAGCATATTTGTAGAGAGGTGATTGGCTATCTTTTGGGGGAGGTGGTTCTTATTCATAATGGATTGAAACATACTAAGGTAGAGGAAACTTACTAAATAAAGTCTTTGCCTTTTCAGATATTAACAGTGACTATTTGAAAATAAAAGTAGTAAAGCAGTTTCCTAGGAAAGTGAAAGGTAGAAGTAAGGGAGGAGCTTACATTTATCATAATAGGAGGAAGGAGATTTTCAGTTTGATTCTATGACTTCTTAATCTTTTTACTTTTGAGAGGAAGATAATGGAGTTTACATCTTGTCTTTTAATGGTACTAGATTTTTTTTTTTTATTTTTGTGAACATACTGTACAGAGGGGTTACAATTACATGGGCAGGATAATGCGTACATTTCTTATCAAGCATTGCAGCCTCCTCCTTTGTTTACCCTTCACATCCCTTCCCAGCCTCCCCCTCCACCCCCCACCCAATCCTCCCCCCCCCCACCAATGCTGTAAAGCTCGTTTTCGACATGACAACTTGTACTTCTCATTGTTGCAACAGGTCCACCTGTATCCTTAAACGACTTGTTTTTCCCCATCTCCTCCACAAGTTACACTGATATCAAATATAGTGAAAGCAGGGGTTATACTGTGGGGGAGGGACATACAAAGCAACAAAGAGATAATCTTATAAATGCATTAGAAACAAATGCATGAAAGAAAAAAACATTAAAATACATATCTAAGGGTTCATTTTCCTAACATCACATTATCTGACCTTTTCCGCTTGACTCATACATATACTAGATATTGCAAATAAGGGAAACCATGGGACCTATGTTTCTTTGGGCCTGGCTTGCTTCACTTAATATAATTTTTTCCAAGTCTTTCCATTTCCTAACAAATGGGGCAATGTCATTCTTTCTGATGGAGGCATAGAATTCCATTGTGTATATATACCACATTTTCTTGATCCATTCATCTACTGAGGGGCATCTGGATTGGTTCCATATCTTAGCTATGGTAAATAATGCTGCAATAAACATAGTTGTGCTGGTAGCTTTAGTGTGGTTTTGTTTGTAAACATTTGGGTAAATGCCCAAAAGTGGGATTGCTGGGTCATAGGGGAGCTCTATGTGGAGTCTTTTGAGGAACCTCCATACTACTTTCCAAAGTGGTTGAACAAGTTTACATTCCCACCAACAATGAAGTAAGGTTCCCTTCTGTCCACATCCCCTCCAGCATCTGTTGTTGTTAGAGTTCTTGATTTTTGCCCTTCTAACTGGAGTGGTATCTCAATGTTGTTTTGATTTGCATTTCTTTTATGGCTAGGGATGCTGAGCATTTCTTCATGTGTCTATTGGCCGTCCTTCTTTCTTCTTCAGAGAAGTTTCTCTTTAAGTCTTTAGCCCACTCATTTATTGGGCAGTTGTTTCTTTGAGGATTTGTTGTTGGGGAATTTAATTTTTTGAGTTCCAAGTATATTTTAGATATGAGACCCTTGTCTGCTGTATGGCTAGTGAAGATCTTCTCTCAATCCGTGGGCTTTCTATTGATCTTGCTAGCTATGTCCTTTGCCATGCAGAAGCTCTGCAACTTCATGTAATCCCATTTGTCCAACCTTTCTTTGATTTGTTGTGTTTCCAGGTCTCTATTCAGAAAATTTCGGCCTGAGCCAATGAGACCTAGGGTTTCTCCTATTCCGTCCTGTAATGTTTTCAGAGTGTCTGCTTTGACTTCGAGGTCTTTGATCCATTTGGAGTTGATTCTGGTGCAGGGTGATATATAAGTATCTAGCTTTAGTTTTCTACAAGTAGTTAACCAATTTTGCCAGCAAATGGTACTAGATTTTAATGGTACTAGTTCAGGGCTTTATACTTGCTTGGCTAATGATTTACTTTTTAAGTCATGTTTCCAGCCCTTTTTTTCACTGGTTATTTTAGGATTGGATTTGTCTTTTCACCCAAGTGTCCCACCTGAGCTGTGATCTTCTACTTGAGGCTTGCTGTAGTTGCTGAGATTATAAACAAGGGCCATCAAGATCAGCTTCCATCTGTGGAGTCAGAGTCTTGAGGACCTTTCTCTCTTGCTAATCTGGGACTGTAGTCTTTATAATCTTAACCTTACAAGTAGATAGAAGTACAGGATGAGCCTGTGTAGGTACCTGGCTTTTTTTTGTCATATATAATTAGACACTTAAAAAAATTAAAAGTTAGTCTATTTCACTTATATTGAAATTCTAAGTGATTTGCTTTTTTTTTTTGTAAAGGTAAAGGATAGAGGGGTTACAGTTACATAAATCAAGTAATGAGTACATTTCTTTTTGAATAATGTCACCTCTTCCCTTGTTTTCTCTGTTTTTCCCTCCTGAACTCCTCCCCCACAAGTTGTATAGTTCATTTTCAACATAGTATCTACTTCATTTTTTCACCCTTTGTTACACTATTTTTGTGTTCCCCTTCATTCTCCCCAAAACAGATAAACAAGATAAAATGTACAGAAATAAAAAACAGCCACAGAGGAGAGAAAAACAACAAACAAAATAACAACTCTTCGTTTCCATTTCTTGGAATTCATTTTGATAAACATCATTTTATATGATCATATGCATATAGCTATTGAGCCTTTGTGATCATCTCCTAAGAATATCTTCCTTTGTTCTAACTGTGTGAATGTTTAGAGTCCTGTGTAATTTATCATGTCCAAGTTTAATTTT